CACAAGGGTAAGGCAGGCCAGGAACACCCCAGGAACCAGTCTGCCCATCCCTGAAGGCAGAAATGACAGGCCACTTCTTCTTTTCCCTTGGTATTGCTGCTGCTGCTGCTGCTGCTGTTGCTGTTGTTGATCTTCTTGTTGCTGTTGTTGCTGCTGCTGCTGTTGCGACAATGACGAAGAACAAAGGAGGATCTGTTGCTCGTGTTGATTCTGTCTCTGGGTGAGTGCGTTGGAAGGTAACTGCTGCGAGTGTTGATGGCGGTGAGGAAGAGATTGTTGTTGTTGTTGTTTGTGGGTGCTGTTGGTGTCGTTGCTGTAGTGATGATGATGGTGGTGGTAATGGTGATGACGGGGACGATGAAGGAAAAGGAGGGTGTTGCCGGGATAGTCGTCAGTGTGATGACGTTGTTGCTGCTGCTGCTGCTGCTGTTGCTGCTTCCAGTATTTCAGCATCGTGACGCTGGAGCTGTCAGTGGGACACCGTTCTATCTGTTGTTGTTGTTGTTGTTGTTGTTGTTGCTGTTGTTGCTGTTGTTGTTGTTGCTGTTGTTGTTGCTGTGGCTGTACACGCTGACAGTGACTGTGACAATGCTGGTGCTGACAACTGCTACAGCCAAACGTTGAGTTTTCCTCGGATCGAGTCATATCTGAAAGCAAAGAGATACAAAACATGGGAATTTAGAAATCGTGTCTGTATAATGTTATTATATGTTCTCAGTTGATCTCTTTCCCTTTTCGTACCCCTCTCTCTCTCTCTCTCTCTCTCTCTCTCACTCTCCATTCCCTTCACTCTCTCTGCTTCTTGGTCTGCAAGTATATCCAACTCCCTCTCTATCTATACGTCTGTTAGTCCGTCTGTTTGCCTACCTGTCTGATTCTACCGTGAGTCTTTCTATCTGTTTTTCTTTTCCTGACTTTTTTCCTGGGTTACCCCTGTTCTCGCTACGATAATCTTCTCATTTTTTAATTATTTTTTTTGACGAAACTCCCGCTAAAAATAAATATATCTTTCTTGTAATCTTTTTCTATCGTTTCTCAAAGGCACACACAAATCCTCTAGCCCAACGCACGTGCACGAAGGCTGACAACATCAGCAATATCGTCCACACTTTCTTAAAACTTTAACTCTCCACATCCACGACAAAATAACCCCCCTCGTTTGTCTCCCTTTACCACCACATTTCGCTACAATAATTCTCTCCCTTCCCCCCAGAGCGCGCAAATGATCCTGGTGCTTTTGCCGACAAAATCACGAGCTATCTTTCAACAGGCCGTCGACGATCTGATTTAAAAGAGCCACTTTTTCGTTTGTCATTTTTATTTCATTTTAATGTTTTTTATTTTGTATTCGTGCTTTTTATTTTTGCTCTTTTCGACGATTCAGCGCGAATTTTGCAGCGTAGCATAACACTCGACAAGTCTACTCTGCCACAGTTTACGCAATGACGCAAGTAAACGATAAATCCAGACAAGATTCCAATACACTGAGTTATCATCTTTTTTCCCTTAACTTTTTGTTTCTTCTTCCCCCTTTCGAAAAAGAAAGCTATCGGCGCAGCACAGACCAGACTACAGAATCATCAGCTGCACTTCAGATGTGATAATGTTCCAGCTCCAACCTTCACCTGTTGTGAATTATCATAATCTCCACGTAACGCTCATGAAAAAGAGAGATAAAATAATAACAATTTTACAACTATGATAATTCATTAGATCTACAGTCGCAATAAGGCAAAGCATTAAATTATAACGGTCTAGAAATATAAATCTGTAATATTCCCACAAGTCAGCAGCGTGCCAAACTCTTGACAAACAAATAAATAAATGTTTTACAGAATGTAGATCAGTTGGTAGGAGCTGACCTGTGGATTAAATAGCTACTCATCTACGGTTTCCAGTTATCTGTCGATGTGTTTGTCTTTCAGATAATATTGTGTCTTTGTGCTTAGGCGTTGGCTAGATCGTCAGTCGTTTTCTCCCTCCCACCCCATCTCACTCTCACT